TGACTCCGCCCCCTCTGTGTGTGTGTTACCTGTGACTCCGCCCCCTCAGAGTGTGTGTTACCTGTGACTCCACCCCCTCAGTATCTGTGTCACCTGTCACTCCGCCCCCTCAGTGTTACCTGTGACCCGGCGGACCCCCTCTCTGTCCACCCCCTCCTTGCGAGCCCTCAGTCTGATGGCCTGGTTCTCTCTGATCACCGTGGCCTTGATGGTCTCCAAAACGGCCACCTCCTTCCTGGGGATGTAGGTCCCTGAGACCAGAACACAGAACATCCAGACTCTTCACATTTATTACAGGAGGAGGTTAAAGTCTCTGAGTAGTACGTGAGCAGAGATATGACGGATATATTTAGTGATTAATAAAAACACACCTGGTCCCTCAAACAGCCACTCGTCTCCAGCGACTCTCTTGTCTCCTCCCTCCTCCTCAAAGTCCAGCAGAGCCTGAAGACGCAGAGCTGTGTCGGGATACACGATCTGCAGCGGAGTCACGTCCTGGAATGATATGATCAATATGTTAAATATACTGAATATACTAAATATGTTTAATATGTTTAATGTGTTAAATATAAAAAAAATATTAAAAAAATCAAAGACAAGTCTGTGTCTTTGTGTGATGATCAATAAAGTTTTGGATAAAAGGAGGCGGGGCCTCTGACCCACCTGCTGGACCTCCTCCCCCGGGTACAGGGGGAACGGGTCCTGGGTCAGACGGATTTCCAGGTCGGCGTGGCGAAGTTTGGCCTGACCCGATTGGTCGAAGAGGACCTGCTTGTCGTCGTCACGGGCGACCGGGTTGATGACCACGCAGTAGTGACGCGGCGGCACCATCGTCATCCGGACCGGAGGGAACAGAACCCTGAGGACGCAAAGAATCAAAGAAGACTGAATCATTGACGACGGTACACGTATGCAGAAAACGATCAATAATGAAATCAATAACCAGTCACATGGTTTACTGAGAGCGACGTCTTTAATACCACGCACAGTGTTCTGCTTGTGTGAGGGACAAAGGCTGATAGTTATGGGTATTTCTAAGGTTCCTTTCTGAGGTTCCCTCTAAAGGTCCCTTGTAAGCTTCCTTATGAGGGTCCATTTGAAAGGTCCCATCTAAGCTTCCTTCCAAAGGTCCCTTCCTAAGGTTCCTGCTCTGACCTCTCATTGTCCTGCCGGATGTAGGTGAGCGGTCCGATCTCCACCCGGGCGATGTTGGTGTTCTGGTCCAACACGTGAATGTAGTGGTGGGGGGGGATGCGGATGATGGACGCCTCCATCAGACCATCAGGTCCTCGGTTCCCTCCCTTCTGAGACATGATCCACAATAAACGCTGCAGAGACGAGAGACGTTAAAAACATCACCGACACGTTAAACCATCTGAGAAAAGAACTTCTGTATTATTTACTAATGTATTATTAATTATTAGAACGAATATGTTCTATTGAAATTATTGCATTTGTATTAATTAAAAAACAGGAATTAGCACTCTAGCACTAGCCTCTAGCACTAGCCTCTAGCCTCTAGCACTAGCCTCTAGCACTAGCCTCTAGCCTCTAGCACTAGCC